AAAGGCTTATAGATCCTCCACACCTTCGCCATCAAGTGTAATTTGGTTGCTGCTCACTGTGCCGTATTTCGGGATCTTGCTTTCTCTTTATGAATGTCGAGGTCTACTGTTACTGGAACTGCAGGTGCACAGGCTGTTTTCTTCTGCATTTGTTGCTATGTGTAGGACCGCAGTGATAGGTCACCTGCAAAGTTCATGGCATCCAGCTGATTCTAAGGTGTCACGTGTTTCCATGCTTTTTTTGAGATGTGGAGGTTTTCATAGTCTAGAGTAGACAGCTTTGTCTGACATCACCCCTCACTGTGAACGTATCTATGAACTGCCCTTCATGCATGACTTCTCAGTGTAATCCGTCGTAAGAATTCCATGTGATGGTGATGGTCCTCTCAATTAATCAACAGTATTGAGGAACATTCCAAAAGGCTTTCTTATCCAAGCCATCAAGCACTATTTCGTAATCAAAGAAGTGGGTATATAGTGACGAAATTCGTTTAACTGATTGTTCAACTAAACAATCAGGTAGACGCCCAACTTCAAGACCAACAGGCAGGATTCCGTAAGGATAGATAATGTACAGACTAAATCGCAACTCTACGGATCATTGTGGAACAATCAATTGAATAAAATTCATCACTCTACATCAGCTTCATTGACTACGAAAAGCATTTGATACCGTGAACAGAACAAGACTATGGAAGCTTCTTTGATACTACAACGTGCCTGAGAAGATAGTCACTATCATACGGAATTCCTATGATGGATTAAACTGCAAAATTGCGCATGGAGGACAATTGACAGACTCGTTCGAATTAGAGACCGGTGTCAGGCAAGGTTGCTTACTCTCACCCTTTCTCTTTCTCCTGGTGATCGACTGGATCATCAAGACCTCATCTGAAGGGAAACGCGGGATACAGTGGACATCTAGGATGCAACTGGACGATCTAGACTTCGCAGATGATCTGGCCCTCCTATTGCAATTTCGATAACAAATGCAGGAGAAAACGACCAGTGTAGCAGCAGCCTCAGCAGCAGTAGGTCTCAATATACACAAAGGGAAAAGCAAGATTCTCCGATACAACAAAACATGCACCAATCCAGTCACACTTGACGGACAAGCATTAGAAGATGCAAAAACCTCTACATATCTGGGCAGCATCAATGATGAACATGGTGGATCTGGTGCAGATGTGAAAGCGCGGATCGGTAAAGCAAGAGCAGCATATTTACGACTGAAGAACATCTGGAACTCAAAACAACTGTCTATCAACCAACACCAAGGTCAGGATTTTCAATACAAATGTCAACACAGTTCTACTGTATGGGGCGGATATCTGGAGAACTACGAAAGCCATCATTCAGAAGATACGAGTGTTTATTAACAGTTGTCTATGCGAAATACTTCGGGTCTGTTGGCCAGACGTTATCAGCAACAACCTACTGTGGGAGAGGACAAACCAGATTTCAGCAGAGGGAGACATCAGGAAGAAGAGCTGGAAATGGATAGGACACGCATTGAGGAAAGCACCCAACTGCGTCACAAGACAAGCCCTCACATGGAATCCTGGAAGCCAAAGGAAAAGAGGGAGACCAAAGAACACATTACGCCGTGAAATGGAGATGGACATGAGAAAAATGAACAAGAATTGGATGGAATTAGAAAAGGCCCAGGACAGAGTGGGTCGGAGAATGCTGGTCGGCGACCTATGCTCCATTAGGAGGAACTGGCGTAAGTAAGATTGTTCAACTATAATGCAGTGCCACGATTCAGTTAGTGGATGATCTTTTCGTACGAAATTAAGCTTGTTGATCTCGAAGTTAGGCGTCTACTGAATCTTACATTCGGTTAAGCAACACTATTGAAAACGTTTTCTGTTACTGATAGTAGTTATAAGTTTCGATAGTTCTCGTACTTACTAAGATTTACGTTTTTAGACACCTTAATGAGGTATACCTATTTCTATTCAGTCGGGACTTGTTCTTTATCCTGAGTCTTTCTTCAGAGAACATGGAGCATCTTTTCAGTCACCTCTCTGTTTGAATTCAGTGCTTCGGCTGGCATGGTGTCGGATCCTGCTGCTTTACCATTGTTGGTTTTGCTAACGACTTTATTGAACTCTTCGATTGCTGGTACGATAACATCTATAGGGAGGTTTGTGTATGCTACTTCGTAGAACTCCACCCACTTGTACCTGTCCTTTAAATCTTCACTGATTAATTTTCCTCTTTTATTTTTGACTAGTTGCTCTGGGTTACTGTATTTTTCTGCTAGCTTTATTGTACAATATAGCTCTTTCTTATTCCTTTTTTTTGCCTTCCTACTTCTTGGCTCTTAAATCTTCCTCAGACTATCAACAGAGACTCATTCTTTATGCTATTGTCCTTTTGGGCTTAGTGCCCACCGAAATATTCAAGTTAGTGCCGCTATAATCTTTTTCAAGTTGTGTTATGTAGTGATTTCCTCATTTAGTAGATCTTGAAAGACATTGAACTTGTTGTCGAGAGCAATCTTGAACTCGATGAGCTTATTGCTATCTCAAATTATATATATATATATATATATATACATACAACAAAAGTCTATAAATAGGTCCCAGGAACTACCTATAATTTAATCTTCTTTTGATATAAGTTAGTGTGGGGCATATTAGCCGTTATTTGTTTATGAAGATTTCAATGTGTGAATATCGTTTACACAAGATGAATTTGACAGAAACTGTCAATTAGGTCTCACTATGTTCAATATATAACTCTGCCTGGAGCCCCTCTGGGGGTACTGCAGGTCTCAAACGCAAATAAAGCAGGAGGGTAGGTCATGAGGTTAGCTACCCCATCCCGTAGAAAACTAACTCGCTAAAAACCGCTAACCAGAAAAAATAATTCAAAACATTTGAACTCTACCCTGGGATTTAGGTCTTCATTTGAAAGAGCTATGAAGTCTCATGATGAAAGCCGTTTCTTCGGAAGTCACGAGGCCGATGCCCCTTCTGACAACCAGAGTAAACAATTAATTTAGGTACATAGAATGTTCGTACAATGCAGGAGACCGGGAGAGTCATCAAAGTTGCTGCAAAATGAAAACATAAAAACTGAAGGTGCACGAAATCAGTGAAACATATTGGAAGCAGGTTGGACAAGGACTAGCTTCAGAGCTTCTGTTAAGCTCCGGCCATGAAGAAAATGCTCCACATACACAAGGAGTTGAACTGACGCTATCAAAACAAGTACAAAGAGCACTTATAGGACGGAAATCTCATGGACCAAGGATCATCAGAGTCTCCTTTAAAATGAACGATAGGGTGCAGTCAATCGTCGAGAAGTGCCTAACAAAGGACTTGACTATTTTGATGGGAGACCTGAATGCCAAGGTTGAAATGGACAACATCGGATATGAAGACATCATGGGACGACACGGACTGGGAGAAAGAGACGAAAATGGTGAGAGATTTGCAAACCTATGTGCCTTCAATAAACTGGTCATAGGCGGCACTGTATTCCTACATAAGCGCACTCACAAAATCACATGGACTTCACCGGATCACACTACACAGAACCAAATCGACCATATCTGCATCAATAAAAAGTTCAGGAGGACGTGAGAAACAAAAAAGCTGATATAGCATCAGATCATCACTTGCTGGTCCCCAATATGAAATTGAAACTCAAGAACTACTGGACAACGGTGCGGACAACATCACAATAGTTTAATACGGCTTTTCTTCAGGATACTGACAAACTCAGCAAATTCAAGATAGTCCTCAGCGATAGGTTCCAGGCCTTTCATGATCGAATCAATGGAGAGGGAACTACCATGGAGAGCAACTGGAAAGGGATAAAAGAGACAATCACTCCATGTCATGAGGTTTTGGGCCATAAGGAACGAATCACTGTTGATACACTGGATAAGATTCATGAAAGGAGGAACAAGAAGGCAGCAATCAATACCAGCCGAACAACAGCAGAGAAAGCCAAGGCGCAAGCTGAATACACAGAAGTAAACAAGCAAGTGAAGAGGAGCATCAGAACTGACAAACGTAAATATGTGGAGGATTTATCAATGACGTTGGATAAGGCTGCAAATGAAGGAAACATGAGATAATTGTATGACACAACAAGGAAGCTCGCCGGAGGGCAAAGTAATCACCACATCGAAACAGGTGGGTAGAACATTTCAAAGAATTATCGAATCGACCAGTTCCACAGAACCCACCCAACATTATAATGCATTATAATCATAAATACTTTTGTCGACCTGTGATAAACATTAGCTAAAATTAATTTGAAATATAATACGACATTGATTCATTACATGGACTACTAAAGGTTCTATAAGTCTGTGAGAGTGAGATAGAACTGTTCATCCACAACACTATGGTATTTGAAGGTCGAATTTACAAAATTTCTTACATGCAATTATCAAAACAACTCTCAAGAGGAAGGTAATATATCTGAAGATTGACCTCTGCAATGATGTTGAGAAACAATAAAAAGTTAAAATGTGCAATAGCTATGTATTTAAACGATTTATCACCAGACAAAAGCCAAATTTAACCTGACATTTTGTAAGGAAAAATAACATCATTTTACTTTGTAACTGTTATTATTTACGCATTAAGGATTTATTTATTTCAAAAAACATAATAAGTTTTAGAATAAAGAATGTACGGTAGTATTATCACATAGGTAAAAAAAAATGTGTACACAAAAATTTAAACACAAAGTTCAAACAGTGGAAACCACATATTGAAAAAATGCTCTGAATATATTGGTTAGGGGTAAATATTAATTTATCCCACATAACCTATGGGAATACTAATAAATTTCAAAAACTTCCTGATAGTGAGTCGCATTAGATTACTGTGTTGCTTGAAATTACTGGAAACTGTTTAGTGATACGTTTAGAAAGAAAATTAATTAAATACAAAATGAACAAGGTATCTTTAACAATTAGAACATTAGTCACCCAACTGGTTGCAGTGGGAATATAATAATCAATATAGAACTCAAACAGAAGTAGGTTGAATAGGAAAATCGGAGGATAAATTTGAAGGCACAGAAGCTGATGTAGAAGGAAGTCTTTTTCGATAACCAAAAAATCCATCAGGAACTTCAAACTGATTAAAAAAAACAATAAAAAAAAGAAAACTTATTAATTGTGAAGTTTAGTGGAAAAGGCTTCGTTTATTTGCTTCTATACAACAAACAGTACTCTTCGCTAACCCTAACCAAGTATGTGAGCTACAACTCAGCAGCAAACTTGTTTTAGAAAATTAATTTGACGAAATTCAGATGTCATAATGACTGTTTCTTTGTGAATAGCTAACTCTTTACTCTGGAAGCTCTATTGAATAGTAAAAACATGTTTGTACGTTAAAACAGCTGGACAGAAATGATAACTAATTAAGCAGTGTTATATAGTTAAAAACAGAAAATAAAAAGTTTAGAAACAAGTAAATTCACTTAGTACAAGACTTTTTAACGATTTGAAGACTTTATGAGGGGAACTAGGTTATACCAGATAAAAAAAGTCAAACTGTAAACATCTTACATTGACACGAAAGTCTTCAATAGTCCTGTACTTCTGCAGTAGCTCTTTTAGTGCATGATTGACTTCTACTTTGCGTCCACTATAGTGCAAGAAAGCCCAAAATTTTTCCAACCCATATAGATGTCCATTTTTGTAGTCTCTCAAGGCTTGTTCCTATGGGGTAAATAAAAACTACAGGTTAGCAAGTGGAAAGTGAAGAGTGCAAATGTTCAAGAAACGTATTATATGCATAAGTGAATATGTGAATTAGAGGACATTACTTGTACACGAGGCGTAATGTGGTTGAGCTGGTTATGACACAAATTTATTTTGATATGTATGATGTGACAGTAACATTGAATAGTTTCCTTATGAAGTTGAAACAGTGTTCAAAATCATAAAAAGGTAAAAACGGGATATGTAAACAGAGGAAACTGCACTACAATATTTACCTGGAAGTCCTTATAAAGAGACCATTTGAAACGACGTTCCAAACCATACGAGTAAAATCGAAACAAGCATTCCAATCCATATCGATAACCAGACGCTTCATCTTCGAGAGCCAAACGTTTGAATTCCTTGTACATACCATGGAAGAAGTTGTCTCGTAAAAAGAATGACCAAAACCTATACAATGTGTTCATTTCTTGTGACTGTCCTGCGCCTGATTTTTCACGATCTAACAGACAAGCAGCACGATATCGGAAATACTCACGAGATGCTAGGCCGCTATCTCGAAGGTATGATTGACTCATATGATTTCCAAAAGTATAAGGAGTTTGTTTATGAACAGAAAACTGGGACTGGTTAGTCTTCACAGGTTCATTTGGCACGAAATTCGGCTTATTATCTTCGTCAGTTGCATGTTCGGTGGTTATGATCACAGTAGTTCCAGATGTACTAACATCGCTAACGGAAAAATAAAAAAATGCTTTTAAACGAAGTGTAAACGTTACGTCAGATGAATGAGGGCAGCGCTTATTCATATTATTCACAATTAAAATGATTTGTGCGAAAGTGGTTTTGAGAGTAACAGACAATATAACAAACTTAATCCATTATTACTACTATGATTGAAGATAGCCTTGGGGTATGAAACAAATGAGTAACCGAGACTGTGGTGGTTGTGAAACACGCAATAAAAGTACTCAGGAAAATGTATTTATTATGGACAATTGTTGTACTTGCAATATTGAAAAATTAAGCAATATTACGTAAGTCACTTCTGTTGGAAATATGACTTTCCACTTGCGAAGATAAAGAGGTGTGATTTAACGACAGCATATATTCCTGTACTGAACTTCAAACTCAACCTTTTGTAGAGCTATATGATACATTATACAGTCGAAAAGTTGGTGGATAGACAACTGTCTGGCAGCTGAATTAAAACGAGTACCTAAGTCAATGAGGTACAAAAAATGTAAATATGCTTAAAAATTACTTAACGCCTGCACTAGAAGTGTGTACGTTTAGGATAACTGAAGTCACTGAGAATGATGAAAGACGAGGCTTAACATGGAAATACAAGTACATTTACATTTATACGTCTAAAAAAGAAGCTGATACACGTATTATTTGATACTAGATATTTTGTTCAAAATAAACTGGTTTTGTGCAATATTGCTTTCAGGAGTTAAATAATGAGAAAACAAGTGAATAATATGATGGATTGATAATTTTACGTGTAAAAATGGTTTGCCGATAAGTTATATATCAGATTTACATTTGCTTTTAATAGAAAAAATAGCTTGTGTTTCGCAATTGTCTATAAGTCAAGATGGTAAACAGACCGTCAATCATTTACACACGTTGACAATTTTTATTTGTTAGTATGTATTCTACAAAAGAGGCTGAATCAAATAAGAAATATTAAGTACGTTTCTTTTCGAAAATTCGTCAGAAAACTAAACGTTCTATAGAAAAGGGTTGAATAATGTCAAAGAAAAGACGGTCTAAATTATTGAGATGTTACTTAAAACTGATTTTCCGAAACTATATTGGGGGGTTAAGTATATATAAAAAATGAATTATTCGTTGGGAAACGCTACTCACATACCTTGCCATGGATATTAGTGTCTTTGGAGTTCGATTACGACTGTCTTCAAGTGTAGCATGTGAAGTAGCACTGGAGGTCTGATCTCTTGTGGTTCTAGCTGAAGGTCGGGCAGAAAGATCAAACGCGAATCCGACGTCTAATTCATCTCGTTTTCGAGTACCAGTAGATCCTACTTTTGCGGGATAAAAGCCGGTCATACGACGCTTTGCGGTATGTTTGTTTTTAGGTTTGTCAGTTACCACAGATTTTTGAGAGGCGGATGCTACAGCAGCCCTGGAAACTTCAGCAACGAGTGCTGCCACCGCGTTTTCTGCTTCCAACTGCTGTTCAACTTGACTGGGTGTTAATGACCCCATGTCTAACGAACACGGAAGTACTTCAGAATTGTAAAGTGGTAGAATAGGATATGAGGGAATCCATGAGGAACTAGCAACCAAGTGTGATGGTTCAGGGGGTAACACGTTAGGAAAATAAAAAGGAAATGTTGGGTAGGAATTTTCGACAGACTGAGTTTTGGTTCTTTCTAATCGAGCCGAATTTAAGCGTGGGTCTTCTGATATGTTGACATTTTCATGAGAAACATAGATTGGTCGCTCGGTGGAACCAGAAGCAGCAGCTTCTTTAAGGCTGACAAAATCTTCTGGTGAAACAAGATTGATCTGTTGAGACGAATAAACAGGAAAAATTAATCCATTTAGTTAAATAAACTATACATAGGTTAACAACCATATAAACGTTAGTAGCGTAGTTTTTAGCACGTTAATGGATATTACTCTTGAGAATGAGGTGTATGATCAGGCTATTCTTTAGCGTTGCTGTACTTTTTAATTCGAGTCAACTATGCAAGAGAGCACTGTTGGACAGAAAAAGTTTCATTTGTATGGATGCCCGAACGTGACTTTAAAAAATGGTATATATATATATATATATATATATATATATATATATATATATATATATATATATATATATATATATATATATATATATATATATATCACTCATGACAAGATTGCATATCATAATGATATGTGAAGTACCAAGATAAAATTTTAGTTAGTGATCAACTAGAAACGAAAAGTGAGATTATTTTCACATTAGGCATTAACCTCCAGAAATCCTTGAGGACGTATCAAAATTTTTGAGTAAACGAGCGAAAACAGATGTGATTGATAATATACGGTTTACTTCATTTGACCGTTAAGTTCCATAACACAAAACATGCTAGTGTTTGTAGACGTATTAAGGTAATAAAGCTGATGAAAACTTTCAGAAACTTGCAAAAAGTAGATATGATGAAATGACTTGATTCTGTTGAATTAAATGGACTTACTTTTTCCAAGCGAGTAAGAGACTGACTGGATGACTTATCAGATAAAAGTGAGATATTCGGTTCTTCAACATCATCTTCAAAACCAAGTTCACAAATAGAGGTGTAACGTTCGCGCTTCACGTTTTGTTCATAATCCTCAAGTCCCAGTCGAATTCTTTGCAGCATATCTGCATGAATCTTGGCACTAAACGATTAAAAAATGTATCAACTAAGTAGAGAAATATTATCATCTAGAAAGCAAACGACAAAACTGCAAAATAATGTGGTGATTGGAGGCAGTTGGCAGAAAATTTTGGGTCTTGATTTCGTGCTAATTGGCACTGGTCAGTAAGATGTGACTGTAATCTTGAGAACTTATGTTTCCTGATGCATTCGATTCTGTCTCACCCAGCTTCATAGTCAAAAATCTTACCACTGAACTATTTAAGCAGCGACCAACGTTTTGTGGAAATGATATATTTACGATTGAATGACTAGGGTTACTACTACTGAGTGACCATTCCATTATACAATGCAAAGTTCAGTTCAGTCATTAATCAACCCCTCGGAGACTAAACATTTACTTTTGATCTTTCTTTTCATGAATAGCAGACTGTTGCAGACTAAAAATACGTCTTTATCAACGATCAGATTTCCTGTGAGGTACCTTGTTCAGCGAATACCAACTTGTGGAGCTACCTTAACAATTAATGACACTATTTGGATTCCTCCAGAAAATTATGTGCAGCGAGGCTCTAACCTGAGAATTGATGATCGGAAGGTGAACGCATTAATGACCTGAAAAATGAACCAGTCTCGTGTATACTTTACTCGAAACCAAACATTTCTGATTCCCATGTACATGATTGATAATTAAAGTTAAAGAATTATGGTAAAGCTACTTTACTGTGGTTCATGTTCTGAAAATAACCATGGAAACATGTTGTTTAAGCATCGTATACCTTTAGTATATTTGGATTATCGTTAGAAGTAGAATTCAGGACGTTCTTTTCATCAGGACCTGTCAACAGAATGCACAGAGATTCCAGTTTTGATATCTGTATCGAGACTATACCAACCGATGAGTAGCAAATACCAAATAAAAGCGCACATCCCGGATTCTACTACTGGCTACAATTTAATTATGCTTGTAACTAAGAAGGTATTTGCTCAGGATTCACATACTTCAACAAAGAATGATTGGAATTCAGTTTTAAGTAACAACCGGAAATTACAAACTTTAGAATAATCGTTTATTATTATTTTGTAGTAAAATCTGATGTAAAACTAGAAATATTGCACAAAAAAAGTTGCTTTCTTCGTATGGACAGCATTGGTCAGTGATAAAACCTGGTTAAACATTCATGTGACGCCTAGAAAAGTACACACATATTCACATGACTAGTACATAATGAGAAGTGACAAGAAATAATTACTTCAAATCAGTAAGTGAGCTTAAAATAGGCCGGAAACATATCGCTAATATTTATAGCAAACATGAGACATGAATTAACATAAACATTATTATACTAAGTGAAACTACTATTTTAGAATTAATACCATATTTATCGTTACTCCACAACAGATATCGTAATAACCTTTGAACAATTACAATTACCTGACTTTACATCTTTACGACATAAATAGACTAGAGGTCGAAAATGTTAGCAGAGTAACAAAACATGTACATAAAAAACAAATTAGTTACCGAGACTGATGATCTGGATTGGGGTGGCGATCACCAGATGGGTGTTTAGCCAAAAGGCGGGAAGAATTGGCAGCATGTTCAGAAGATGTGTATCCACTATGTATTGTTTGACTCTTGTCAACTGTGATATTACAAGGTGTAATATTCAATGGACCGGATTCGAAATCAGCTTTTTCAATCCACGATTCAGATGTTCGAGATGGCTTTGATACATGTGCTTTCGCGCTGAGAGTGCTTTGATCAGAAGCGCGTCCACCTGCTCTTTCAGGGACAATAACAATTAGATAATTCAAGAGATCATCTTCATCAATATCACTGAACTCAGAACACGAAGATTCGTTCCTTTGACGATGACTAGTCTAAAAATTTAGGAATACACATGAATAAATAAGCATGCCTTGAACTACTATTACCGGTTATTCAAGTGCCACTGTTAAGATTGTTTAGGACTATATAGTCATTAAGAATAACTAGATAAACCTAAAATTGCCCGGTATCATTGGTGAGACATTTGATAATTTACATTGGCGTATCATGACAACGCACGAAGAAATCTGATTCTGATGTTCGGGCTGTACAGACTTTCGACAAAATTGTTTATTAAGAAGAGGTTCAGGTACTGAGATTTGGATCACGCTTAATGTGTTAGGACTAATGATACTACCTGACAGCTGAGAGTTAGCATAGTTTGACTAAAATTAGAATGGTTATTTTTCACAAGCCTAAAAGCCAAGATTACCAAGCCCTGAAATAGACCGAAAGTGAGTTTTAAGAATTACATGTTACCAGGGTAAGTGGAAAGAAAAAACTATGTTCATGACCATAACGTTTGCGACAAGTACATCGTGTATAAATTGCGCTACAATGAAATCTTAGTTGTTCCGGAAGATTATAAGGTTCCTGATCAGAATATAAACACGATACTAAAGTGGACAACAGTTGAATGGAATATTACACAGAACGATTTCTTACGCTTACTGAATGTGTTAAATTACAGCTACTAAACCACCGGAGTTGGAGCTTTCCTAGCATCAGACTGCCAGGATGGAACTGGATCCAGGGAAGTATGAATAGTGGATTTAACAAAAACTCATAATCAGAAACAAGGTAGAAAAGTTATGTTTAGTATTCTTAATTTTAAATAGAAATCTTATCAAAAACCATTCGCGTTTGTAAAATTACGCTTATCTGTGAAGTATATTTCTTGGATAAAATATTACTTTCTACTTACGTTCACCAATATTATTGTCTCTCTATCTCTTCCTTTTTGACTACCTGATAGCTCTTACTGTTGAATGCCAACAGTTTGGAAGAAATATAATGTATTCCATCAACATGGATAATTAGTTTGACACAGCCAAATTTGAGTAGGGATTAAGACCGATTTTGTGATGAAATTTGTAGACGTAAATACTGCAAACATATAGTATGATTTTCATATCAGGCTTAAAACACTAAGCGACTATACTCATGGAGCATAAGGCTTGTGGTCCGTTGCCCATAAAGTTTAAGTTTCACTACAACTGATTATTTCGATAACAGGACACAAACCTTTTTTCAAACATAAGGAGCTAGAGAGATGAAATTATCTGACAGTTTAGTATGTATACGTTGGAAGGCAAGCCGTAATATCTAGTTGACCACGTTCATTCGATTTACAGAAAATTGCCGGTACCATACAGCATCATAAAGACAAGCCACATCCAGTTTATGTTAAATACAAGCCCCATGAAATCTCAATTGGAAGCAATTATTTCTACTGTGTCCATTCACTATTGTATGTTATTAAACTGATGTTATCTTCATATATTGTGTACCAAGAAACTAACAATCGTTGAAGAATAAACTCTATTAGAAATTAAAAAATAGGTGACTATTTTGACCAGACTTACTTTGAATAAGCATTGTGACTCAACATCGAAGAGGGACTTTTGGGTTTTTAAAACGGACAGGAAAACCAATTTTTGACTAGGAACAACACAAGTCTTTTTTTAAAAGTCAGTGTTGAATTAGCTATTATTAAATCTATATAACTGTTCTACAATGCCTAAAGAATACAATGGCTTGTTGCATTCAAACCTTGTATTGCTAAAACTATGTACAAGGCATGAATAGTATGTATGTGTATGGGAACGCTAAGCTTTGACAAGGATTTATTAATACATCTTGGAAAATTTGCATTCTTACCGTCGTAACAGGGATATTTGAATTGGATGAAGACAGAGCCTTGAGACGACTACGTTGACGACGTTCCACCTTCAGCCAATTGACATCGTTTATTTCTCCCGCGATGGTGGATGTTGAGTTTGTCACTTCCATACTAACAGTATCTGAAGGAGGTGCATCAGATGTGTATGTCGAGGAACTCAGTGTAGTGGCCGAGGTGGAAATGGGAGCATGTTGAGTGAAAACTGTGGATTCTATGTTTTGAACATATTTAAACTACACTCAACTTACCGTCTGACACACCATAACTTTCAGAAACGGCTAGCCGACGTCTTATGAGTTCTCTACTAGCATCAATTTCTACAACACTGCTGTTACAACAAGCCTAAACTGTAATAAACTAATGAGATTGGTGTTACCTGGATAATAAGGTTTTCGAAGCATCTAACTGCTTCATCCTGGGAAAGTTTAATATAACTTCTAAAGGCACATATCCATCAACAGTCATTTTTTCTTGGAGGTATCGGTCGCGGGTGAAGTTCCTATCACCAAAGTAGTATTCTATTTGATTTCTGATCCTGGAAAGCCTCTCAGATACGCAGGCCACGCATTCACTTGTATCATAACTACATGGTTGGCTTTGAGAAATATGGTGTCGGTAGTGTGACAATACGCGAGGGTCTAAAATGAAATGCAACAACCATACACTTACTAAATCCTGGCCGAGGCACTAAGTAGCATAGCTCCACTCCGGCAAAATTTGGGTTGACGTATAGACACCACTGAGAGTTTGAGCAGTTGCTTTGAAACTTTCGGGTTTTATCTAGATTTACACTCTTTATAGGTTCGGTGCATTCAGGAGCCTCAAATTTATCCACATCCTTTAAATCCTTATAGGCAGGATACCCGATTTCTGGAGGAAGGTTGCTTTCTGAAGGTAACGAACTTTGGATTTTAGAAAAAGTAAGCTGAACAGGCAGATCTTCCCACTTTTGTTTGGATTTAAGTCTAGTAACAAACTATTTAAAAATATAGGAATCATAAAGACATACTCTCTTATTACTTCCTGAGTTTTTGTTCAACTCATTTAAAGCTGGCCATTCGTTATCCACTATGTGCAGACCATTCAGAAGTCCTTCATTCATCGCAGCAGTTCCTAATAATTAATTTGAACACGAATTTGGCTTTGTGACCGATTCAGTATCATTAGTAAAAACGGCGTGACGACACGCCAACAACGTATTACGCGCTACTAGAACACGACCCCAAATCAGTTTCACTTTCAGTTTAGGACAGGAGGCTCGATGGCCTATGTTAGTCTTGGCAGTGGTGGTCTCTCAGTTGGTCCAAATTTCTTTTGAAAGAGTCGACGGACAGAGCCTCAACCATGTGCTGAGGAAATGAATTCGACTCGATGATTCGATGGGAAAGTCGATAGTCAACTGACAAATAATTTGTTCAGGGCTTGTGAACTTTTTTGAGTGTCCTCGTAAATTATCTGTTTTGGAAGACAAGAAAAACGAGGGCATATCAGGTGCAAATTCATCACTAAGCAATTTGAAAACTGTAATCAAGTCGCCTCTAGTTCTACGATATGACAACAGTAAAAGGTTTACTAGTATGGGGGTTGTGGAGATTATTACGTTTTCGATTGAGATGATGAACCGATTGATGTAAGACCACCACCTTCGGAAGCCTGGAAGCACTGGACGGCCGTTTCGTCCCATTGTGGGACTCCTCAGCAGTGCAGGCTTAGCTTGGCCAGTCGAGCATCATACGGAAGCTTTGCTATTCCGGGAATCAGCTTAGTTGCTGTTCCCCGAACCTTTTCCAAAAGCTCACCGTCTTCTTTTATCAGGGGCTAGCCGCTTGTATTCAGTACTCAAGTTTAGGACGTACGAACACTGTATACAAAGTCAAAAACGTTCTAGCGTCGATATGACTAAAAGCCCCACGTATTGGACATAAGGTTCTAAAACCTTTGGCGGCTATTGCAGGACAGTGTCCATTAGTCTTTAAGTCTTGGTTAACGATGACTCCTAAGTCATTGTGTCTGGACAATAGGTAGCTCAGTGTTATTCATCGTGTATGTATCTGTACCTTGATGATCGATATGCATCAGAACACACTTGAAAGTATTTATCGGCAACTGCCAGGTTTGAGAGCGTTCAGATAATTTCTTCAGGTCATTTTGTAGTTCTAAGCTATCACCCTTCCATCGTATTGTTCTCCATATCTTGACATCGTCAGCATATAGCAAGACCGATGATGATAGGGGACAAGGAAGGTCATTTACATACAAGAGGAATAGCACTGGCCCCAAAACTGTACACTGGGGCACTCCACCAAGGACAGTTTCCCAGCTAGATAACTTTGAGTTCACCCTTGCTCTTTGTTGACGCCCAACTAAGAAGTCTTTTATCCACACAAATAGATTGCCTCCAATCCCGACTTTTCTTAACTTATATAACAGCCGGTTGTGCGGATATTTGTCAAAAGCTTTGCTGAAATCAATGAAGGCTACGTCTACAGGTAGCTTTTGGTCCTTAAGAGCTCATCAGCTTTCACGAGCCACTAATAAGTTAGTGAGACAAGAATAACCTATTCTGAAGCCGTTCTGTTTCTCCAAAAGGGTCCGGTTTTCATCGAGGTACTTAAACAGCTGCTTCCGAATAATCTCTTCTAAGATTTTAACAAACACACTAGTTAGGCTAACGGGTCGGTAATTCTCAGGTTTATGTTTCGTACCTGTTTTGAAAACAGTACTTATTATGGCGTTCTTCCAGTCTTTGGGTAAACGACCCTGCGTTACGGATAGATTAAAGCATATACTTAAAGGGTTCGCAAAGAAGTTAGGTAATTCCTTTAGTAGCCTAGGGTGCAATTAATCGGGCCCTGTGGATTTACCTATGTCAAGCTTATTTAGCAGATCAAAGACATCGAGTTCTTTAATGGCCACGCCATCCAGTGTATGTGTAGAGGAATTTGTATGCGCTGACGCGAAGGGTGCTTCTATGGTATATACATTGCTAAAGTAGTTCGAGAACACTTGAGCCTTACCAAAGTCGTCCTTCACTAGTGATGCGCAGTACTGTCTCCCCATAGTGCAGGAATATTTCTTCTTTTTGTCCTTTGGTTTATATAGGAATACAAGCGTTTAGGACATTCTATGGATTCCTTAACAATTTCTTCTTCGTACAACTTTCAAAACTTACGGAGGGTCGAGGCTGAGTGCATGATATCTGGAATGTTTGCTTTTCAGACGTTAGGTCTGGATTGAGCTAACGCGTGCTCGTGATTGACAGTTATATGGAAGTCAAAAGTTAAAACTGAGTGATCACTTCTGCCTAGGGGTGGCATGTAATGACCTTTAAGGTCACTAATAGCAGCTGAATTAACCTGACCATCTCCCTATTTGATCTCTCTCCCTTGCAAAGCCGTTCTGGACTGTAAGGGTTTCGATTCACTCAAAATCATATATGACTAATACATGAAGGAACATAAGGGATCTACTTTCATGGTTGGCTTTGCCACCAAGTCAAATCTATGTGTCTACTTGGAAATTCCATATGCATTGTCAATTGTGATTTGAAGCTAATGAAATTTTCTATATTCCTCTTAAAAAATTAAAAAAATTAAGGATTGATTATTGTGCGTCGGGGATTCGAAAAGATATGAGGTGGATAAATAAGTAGGTATTAGTCTGGCCGAATCATTTCTTATGTACTAGGCTATCTGTAGGCCTGCTGAGAAGCACCGACGTTATTTTGATGGCACAGGTCCTACATTATATATTTGTAAATGGTTGTCACCCTGTTAGCTGTGGGATATCTTTGTCAGACAATGTGTATTGGCTTCAAATATGTATCATCCTTTTCCTTTCATTGAGTACTTCTCAGCGAATTAATATTACCGATCAAAAGAGACAAAAGTTAATGCCCATAGATAGTTTGGCAGTTTTGATTGTAAATCTAACGGAATTATCGGGACAAAACTACCTGAGAAGTGATAGGAATAGATCCATGAGAGGCGATGGGTTTGTAGTGATTTACTTTTATCACGAGAACACGATTGGTTTGTTGAAAACAATTATTATTATAACCAACTGTACCAGTGACTGTTTTAATGTGCTTTTGTTTAACTGTGCTAAAAAGCGTCCGTTATTCACACACTTTGATTGTGACTTCGCGCGAATTCGGTTACGTTCTATAATCAAGCTTGTATACTGGCACGACCTCGGTATCCTTTCGATACCACGAGATCGCCAGCAAATATATCTCTGCTTGGTTCATTAATTGCCTTCTGATATTTGGCTTCCGAGGGATTTTTGGAGTCATTTGGCACGTGTTTCTCCGTAGCGGTGTTCATAGTCTATTTCGACTCGACTCCATGCTACAGGTTCTTACATACATAACGAATAATATAAATGTCCGTTCCCGTGTTTGTGAGCCTCGTGATGGTAGAGTTTGTGAAGTCATTAGCTGAGAACTCACTTCTGAAGGCTGTACATTTATAATCGGTGTCATCTACCATAGCCCACTCTGCTTGGTTGACGATTTCACTTCAGCGCACGTAACAGTATGAAATAAAAATAACGAAATTTTGATGCATCTGCTGTTAGCTGGATAGAGGTGGCCCGAAAAAGCTTTTAATGGTAGGCTCCTCATGACTAGTGGAGCGTGTTTAAAAACAGCATGTTTTCGAGTCCATACGTCCTGGTTTAAACAACCGATTTCTCTAGCTAGGCTTAGCAATCACTGTTGAGACCGAGTATATTGTCTATCTAAATGTTCTCCCACCGTTAGCAAGCAGCGATCATGTTTTGTTATTCATGTTTAGGGCTAGTAACACAGTATATGATCAGAATGTACCCTGAGGAAATATGTGGATGGCGTTGGAATGTTCTTGTCTCTGCTGGCTCCGAACAGTACTAATCCACGTATTGTAAGACCAAGTGCGCATGTGAAGCGTTGATAAGTAGGGCCAGTGTCGTAATGGACAGTGTCCGATAGATAGATGACGTGTCATATGTTAACCTCCAACCGACCACTTGAGAGAGAACACAAGAGTGGAAGAGAAAGTATGTTAGGCTACCGAATAAAACGCACAAATACTAATTTATATATATATATATGACTCTACCCCATAGGAAATTAATTAATTCCCTAGTCAATGAAATGCACTTCCCCTCCAGGTCACTTCTGACTGCCATCGACTAGCCTCCTCATTAGGCTACTTCTGATTGGCTTACCATATCAGTCAGACCATCGTATGAAAACAGTTGGTCATGGATTGTTTTTGTTCTCCACCACTTTTGGTACGGAAACATTCAATGAGATTAGCAAGAAATGATGTTGCAAAAGCTGAAGCCTTATTAGAATATTTTAGCAGTGTTTTTTGTCGACGGCGGTGGAAGACTAACAGTTAATCATAATGGTGACTGTTCTAGCGGTTATTGAGAAAAGAGCTGTCTTACGAACACTTGAACATCTCATACCAGATAGGTCCAGTGGCCCTTACTATACTCATCCTATGATTTTGAGAGCCCTGGCAGATGTAATCGCTAACTCATTGACGTTACCGGTTGATATGTCTTTGCGGAAGTCCAAACTGTCAAGAGACAGGAAAGATACAATTGTCGGTCAGATTTATAAAGCAGGAGTAGAGACTTAGTTGGTAACTATCGACCATTAAGTCTAATCACTGTAGTCTTCAAACAATGGGAAGGATTATCCAGATGGCCATTCTGGGCTATATGATAGGGGATAATCTTTTAACCGGTGAACAATGTGGTTTTAAAAAAGACCATACATGCTTGGTAAATCTCACTGAAATAGAAGATTGGGCCACAGCGAAAGATAGTAATACTCTAGTAGTTACAGTTTTCATATATCTGAGTAACGTTTTTGACTAAGCCCAACACACCTGGATCTTAAATCATATCTAGAAAGTTTCGAGGTCTTTTGCGAAATCGCAAACCGTATAGTGGACAGAAGGTACGGGTAAATATGACTCTTGCAGTAAACAAAGTAGAATCATATACTGCATTTTTTAATTTTGGAAATAACACATCGAATACACCGTTTGCGCATTTTTCTTGACTTGTCTCTTAAAAACTCCGTCCGTTCTTTCATTCCTGTTGCTC